CCCCAAGTCAGCTGCTGCTGAAACTGATCAGCGGCTGATTCCAGGAAGCCTGGGGCAGAGCAACTCTGCTCCTGCAACTCTGCCTCGGGATTCCTGTAGTCAGCGCTGGTCAGTTTCAACGGCGGCTGACTTGGGGACGCCTGGGCCAGAGCAGCTGGGGTGCTGCTGGGTTGGTCCCGCAGCGCCGAGGGGTGCATCCCCCCCACTCCACCCCAGACCCCTCATAGCCCCCCCCCTTCCTATAGTACGGCATATCTGATAATCCGGCACCCCCTGGGTCCTAAAGTTGCCGGATTATCGGAAGTTTACTGTATTTCTTCACACAACACACAGTCAAGTCTGTAACAGGGTTAAAAAAACCTAGATAAATTAATTGAGGATACCTCCATCAATGACTATTAATCAGGGTGGGAAAGGGTGGTGTCCCTAGCCTCTGTTTTCCTGAATCTGGGAATGAGCAAAAGGGAATAGATTATCTGTTCTGTTTATTCCCTCTGAGCAGGGAACCTGACATTGGCCACTGTTGAAAAACAAGATCCTTGGCTATATGGGTCTTTTGTTCTTACTAATTGTTTCTTTCTAAGTTTTTCCAGTATTCTTTCTCCTTCCCCAAGTGCTTTTAATTTACTGTCTCCCAAGAGAACATGTTTTTGGATAAATAACAAAAATCTAAAGAGATGGGATTCCCATAATATGTGCTCTCAGCTGTATCTAGATTGGTATTATTGCCTGTTTTTGTTCCAGTTTTAATATTACATTTTTTCTGTTTTATCTTACCCGTAAATGTTCATAATTTATCATAAAGAATAATGTTGTATTTCCATTTACTCTGAATTATTATTATAAAACTGCATGTCTTACAAATTCTCACTAAAATCTTAAATCATTGATATATGGGCATTTAGTTATTTGCATAATAAGGAATCAAGCTACAGTTCAGTATCAATCTTACTCTAACACCCCCAGAAAAACTTCAGTTACAGGGTTAGGTCCCAATCTTGCAAATACATACATGTGGATAAGTCCCATTGAACCCAATGAAACTCATGAGTGAAACTCTCTACTACCAAGAGGGTCATTCCTAGGCCTTTTTTGGTACTTATGTTCAACTGAACATTCATTTTGGAGATTATAGTGGCACACACACCAGTGCTAGCCCTCTGCACACTAATAAATATCACTCCACATTTTTAAAGTTGCTACCATGTGTAAATGTATACAGGATCAGAACCTCACTGAGTATTTTTTATTTCTCTTTTTTTTCTGAGAGGAATATTCATCTGCTTATAAATAAACGTATTGATTTTCAGTCTGTTAACCATGTCTGCAGCAGAGTGTCATTCTAGGACAATACAGTAGAAACCAGAGAGGTAAGGCAGCAGTGATGTCTGGGGAAAAGAGGACTGACTTCAACAGCAGCTGAAGATCCTCAGCAAATTGGAAAGAAGATATCTCAAAGCTGGACACACCATTTAAGGCACATAGAATTAGCAAGCACTTCTAGGGTATGTCTACACTACCCCGCTAGTTCGAACTAGCGGGGTAGTGTAGACATACCCCCTGAGACAGACAGTCCCCGGGTTAGGTCAATCCGACTTAAGTCGGACCCCTAGTTACGAACGGGGGGGGAGGGCGGCCCAGCTAGTGCAGGGTGCCTCCCCCACTGTTGCCGCCTCTGGCGGCGCAGGGGGCACTTCCCCCCCGAAGACCAGG